GTTACTTAAGTAACTGCTAGGCAGAGCATACTGCCCTTCGATACACAGCCCAGTGCTGGGGGAGACTAGACACGGAACTGCTTCCTCCAAGCAAGAAACCTTCTGTCCTTGCCCACTGCTGCCCATCCTGCTGCGTGCCCTCTGCTTCAAGTTCTTGACTTGGCTACAGCATTGTGTAGCACATCTAAAGTATCTCTTCTAGAAGAATTTGGATTCCTGCCCTCCAGCAACCAAGTTTGTGCTTCCAGCCCAAGCACAACCTACACCCCCAACCCCAGCTTGCCTCTGCCACCAGCTCTCCTGCTCTCCCTTTTGGAGACTGCCCGCTGCCTCTTCTTCAGAAGCTCCTTCTGTATCAGAATTCCCCTCTCAGCACCTGATCATAGAATCACAGAATCATTTAGGTTGGAAAAGACCTTTAAGATCATCAAGTCCAACCACAGACCTAACACTGCCAAGTCCAGCACTAAACCATGTCCCTGAGCACCATGTGTACACGTCTTATAAATACCACCAGGGATGGGGACTCCACCACTTCCCTGGGCAGCCTGTTCCAGTGCTTGACAAGCCCTTCAGTGAAGAATTTTTTCCTAATATCCAATCTAAATCTCACCTGGCCCAACCTGAGGCCATTTCCTCTCGTTCTATCACTGGTTACTTGGGAAAAGAAACCAACACCCACCTTGCTACAACCTCGTTTCAGGTAGTTGTAAAGAGCCATAAGGTTTCCCCTCAGCCTCCTTGTTATGTTTTACGTTACACAAAAAATAGACAGGTATATGGGCATGTGCACCCAGCTGCAACACAGAAGTGAATGTTACTTTTAGTAATTCAGTGTGTGAAAAAAAGAGATCCTTTACAGAAAAATGTAAAAACTCACGCTTTAAAAAAAATATACAGAAATTGAAAATAACTGAAATGTATTCAGTCTCAAACAGGAGTTCTGTCTGTTCTGGACCCTCCTAATCTGTCCAAAGCTTCGCAAGTCAAAGGAGGTTGTAACTAGGTTCTTTTAACACAACCTGTGTAAGGTGCAATTACAGAAGAGGAAACCTGATCCTACCGGCTCTGCTCACCAGAGTGTTTATCATCAAGATGCTGGAGGAACACAGAACATGAATACATGATACATGAAGCTCACCTGTGCTACTCTAGATGGATACAGAATAAGAAACAAAATAGCTGCCACTTAAAACTTTTAACTTATGAATGTAAGCTGTCACAAAATACCTTTGCGTTGTGTTCATACTACTGGGAAAAGCTGCCATTCTTTTATTAACAATTCTTCCCAGCATTACTCAGTCATTGCACATTAGAACCAGCAGCTGGAGAGCTTTGAGTGATAATGAAAGCTGTTACAAGCCATCTTCAGCCATCTTTTCCAAACAATAAGGGAATTAAAATTTCAATTTAAATGCAGAGGTTTGAAACACGCTTCAGTGGCAAAATTACCTCAATTAATGTGAGTAGAATACAAAGAACAGACTGCAAAAATGTGATGCAGCAACCAGAAATTATGCCATTAGAGTGCTTGCATCAACCTAACGCGACGACTGCAAAGGGCTAATTTCAACTGTACATATCACAAGGCTACAGGCAACAATATTAATCAGTGCTCCAATTTCAGTGTGAGGGATACAAGCTCCTCGTCAGATCACTTTGGGCTTTTTATAAGCCATGAGCATCTGTTTACCTCAAGGAGTGAAACAAAAGGACAGAGAGATCAATATAGACTCTGCACCCCTGACAGTTTAGTAATTATTTTACATAATATTCATATCATAGAAAAGGAGAAAGGAATTATCCTGCAGCCAGTGATTAGAACATCACAGTCTTGCAGAGGCAGTGTTAACAGGAGATGGCAAAAGCCAATGAGCCTACAGCGATTTTTGCCTATGAAAAAGCTCCAAATGCAGGTAGGTTACTATTTCTTTATTACTGGTACACTTCTCTCTTCAAAAGAGAATTGCAAGAATCAATGAACGGCTGAAATAGTGTGTTCAATTTTCACTTGAGGTTGCTCTGCATTCCTGATACTATAAATAAATAAATATCTAACAGCTGCTTTTTATATCATTACAATTTGATTTCTTAAGAAAAGATACTCTACACTGGAAAACAAACAAACAACAAAAAACAGCATGGCATACTACAGAAGTCCATACTTCAGTGAGGTCTAATATTGTCTCTCTCTGATAGCCTTGGGCAACCTTACCTATACACACAGATATATATGTGCATGTATATAACTGTACATATAAAACACCTGCACATGCAATATATTGCAAACCAGTAAGATGTCACAAATACACATATTGCAAACCGTTTGTAAAGCACATTATATGGTAAGTCCTAAGTATTGTTATTTTTCTTCTTACACTTCCTATCTTATATTCCAGAGAGGAAATTAATTACTTCTCTGGAATTTCCTTCTGGAAAGATTTTTTTTTTTTTTATTTAAAAAAACAAACAAAAACCCAAACAAAAAAACAAGCAAACTGGCAAGTCCATCAGTAAAAGAAACCACCAACTGGTTAACATTTCAACTGATACTGATGTTATTTCTGAATACTGTGTTTTCCCCTACACTGAATGCCCTTAATTTACATCTACTTCTTCATCTCTCATAATTAAAAATATCAGACTAACACCACACTCCAATTTCCTACATCAGAAACCTGACAAAAGTTTTGGCAAAACCTGACTGCACTCTTCTCATATATGCTGCCTCAAGACATTGCATTGCTCATCTGTTTTCAGGAATTCTAATAGGTTTTACAGAATATTTTATGAAGTATAAAAATTCCAGTCTACATTACACAACAGAAATGAACACATTACCCATCCCAGACAGCTTACAATACAACGGAGAAGATCTAAGACAATAGTTCATATTACAAGGACAGCGAGACTAAGGAGAATAAGATTGAGAGGGTTCCTGGAAGATGTTTTTAAAAAGGAAGAACGGGAAAACTGATTATAGGTTATAGGAAGATGACTGCAGCAGGTGTGGCATGAAAACAGAACATGAGTAACAGAAAACAACAGTAAGGTTACGGCAGAGTAAAATCAGATAAAAGGATGTGACAGCAACAACAAAAATCCAGATAGGATTACACATGCCATCAGAGACAGGCAGGAGAAGACTGACATAAAACTGTTGAAAATGTTTCAGAGGGAACAAGGTAATTTTTTTAAGTCATATTTAAGGTAAAATGAGATAAAACACAAAGAAGGAAATTAAAGTTCAAGTCTGGGTTCTAGGAATAAGAGGTGACAATACTCACTGTCCCGCTCTTTATCCTGTTATAATGACTTATTAAAAAGAGGCGAAGATGCACAGCTAAGAGAAATACAAAGGACAGCAGAGTTGAGAAAAAACAATAACAAAAGAAGGCAATGAAATTATTTCCTTGAAGGCATTCTCTGACAAATACAAAGAGGAATATGAACAGACATATTTCTTTTGCCTTTACTTTTGAATCACAGACTGTTTAGGGTTGCAAAGGACCTTTAGAGAACATCTAATTCACCCCCCTGCTCAAGCACGGTCACCTAGAGCCAGCCGCCCAGGACACCATCCAGTCTGGTTTTGAAAATTTACAACATCCAGAATCACAGAATTGTTAAGGTTGGAAAAGACCTTTAAGATCATTAAGTCCAACCATCAACCCAACACCACCATGCCCACTAAACCATATCCTGAAGTGCCACATCCACACGTTTTTTGAACACTTCCAGTGATGGTGACAATATGGAGACTCCACAACCTCTCGGGCAACCTGTTCCAGTGTTAAACCACCCCTACAGCAAAAAAGTGTTTCCTTACATTCAGATGTGATTTCCCATGTTTCAGTCTGTACCCATTGCCTCTTCTGTCACTGGGCACCACTGAGAAAAGTCTGCCTCTGTTTTCTTTTGCACCTTCCCATCAGACATTTATAACCCTGGGGTTTCTCTTCTGTAAGTGAAGTCCCAGCTCTCTCAGCCTCTCCTTATATGTGAAATGCTCCTGTCCCTTAACCATCTTTGTGATCCTTCACTGGACTCGAGTCAGTAACTCTATCTTTCTCTTGTACTGGAGGGCCCAGAGCTGGACTCCGCACTCCACGTATCAGGACTGAGTAGAGGAGAAGGATCACCTCCTGTGTAAAGTTTTTAACTACTGGTAGAATAGTTAGTTCCAGGAAATAAAGGACTGGACCCTGGTGAGGAAGTATGCTTGTTCAGTTCAGAAACAAGAGGGGGAAAGAAAACATTGTTATTAGACCAGTTCAGGAAGCTTCTACCTCCTCCACAAGACTGGAATCAAAAGGTATGCTTGTAAAAGAGATGGAACTGAAGAGGAAAAACACTTGAAGGGAGAGAGAAAAAAAGATGAAAAAAAAGAGCTGGAAATACATAGAAAGGATTAAGAGTTCTGGCAGAAAACCTAAAGGAAGACAATGAGAGCCAAACACACCTAAATGGTGAAAGACAGTCTTCCCTCTGAATAATGACCTAAGTTGTGAGTGTATTCTGGAAGATTAAATGAGAGAGAAACAGGATCGTTATTCCATAACAAAAATGGTTTTGAAATAATTGATAAGATATAAAGAAAGATTATACAGGCAGGTGTCTGGAAAATTAATTTTAAAATAAAGCGCCAGGTTGCAAAAGCAGAAGGAAGTCCTATGTGCAGATCAAATGGGTAAAGAACTAGGTAGTTACCAAAAGCATCAGGATCAAGACAAGTAAACAGGTAAACACAGCTCTGAAAAACAAAAGCTAACCAACCAGCATGGGAGACTGTGACCCAAAGTCCAGTCATGAAGGATCAAAACAAAACCAAATGGAAATTCCAGTACAAGAAAACTGCAAATGACAAAAGGAGAATCTAAACAGGAAAAGAAAAAAAAGGCCAGTAACACCACAGACGGCAGATCTGTCTGCAAATGATCAGACAGCTGACCAGTGTGTTTCAGGTGGGCACTGGCCCAGCACGAGGTACCACATCTTACCAGCATGTCTGTTGCATTGAGGTAGTGCTTGCTGGCCATGCACTGTTCCAGCTTCTGAGGCACTTGCTTGATGTTCTCTATCTCATCCAGCAGATTCAGGACATGTTTGTGCTCAATGCCTTCAATCCACAGCTTGCGCAACTCGTCCCGCTTGCAATGCAGCAGCATCTTGCAAGATAGCAGATTCTCCTTCACCTACAAGCAATGTATCAAAAGATTAATAAAATCCGTCCCTGTAACTGGCACTTTTAACACAGATCAGCCCTTTCCCACATTTACTTTATTAGGAATTCCAAAAACATCAAAGACTATAACCAAATCCAAGTTTCTTAAAACTTCCGGTTATTCCTTTGGCTGAAGGGAAACATATAGTACATAAAAAACGGAACTGCTTTCATAGTCAAATGGGTTTTAGTATAAGTTTTGTACCACTAGTGAAAACTTAACTGAACTGTGAACAAACGCAGGATCCTATTAACCATGACCAAAGACTTATTTGCATGTTTTCCAAAAACCAATTCAGTATTTTGGCATACATCAAGAATCCAATTTTCAGTGAAAGCAAATAAGCCACTACTGATTTTTCTGCTGTAAACATTTTCCATCTGCCTATTAAATCTTTTGGCACGTCTCCTCCTTTCTTCAAGTTTGGTGACCGTTTCTTGAAACCTGACTATCTAAGACTACAACCATTTTCCTAATACCTCAAGCAATACCTTTTTTTCTGTAAGGGATATGGTTTCATCAGAACAAACAGCAGTTAAGATACAGCTCAATTCAGCATTTCCATTATTTATCAAGGCATTACATCACCCAGAGAAACATCTTTGTGTCTGCCATTCAGTTTGTTTTCAAGCCTCGTGCCATCTTCTCTAACTGGCAAAGTCTCTACTATTCTACCCCATTCGGGAAACATCAAGATTTTTTCTGCTCCATTCTTCCTGCTCAAATGCAACAGCTTACATTTGCTGCTTTCAGGTTTTCCCAATATCCTCTGGTAAGGTCAGTATAACCTAGCTTTTCTTGCATAATGCAAATCAATAATACATATTAAAATGTGGAAGCCCTTAACAACACAGCTTCACACATTGCTTTCACACTACTCCTGTTTTTGCGATAAGTTATGAATACTTAGGGTCTAACCTTTCCTCAGGCTGTACTCTCACTGAATTACACATGAAGAAAGACTCTCGGAAGTAGGCCCTTAAAATTATTTTTAAATAATGAGCCTTCAAGGCACTCCAGAATTCCCACTTCAGTGGCACATTCTTCTACCTTATCCATCTGAAGGCAATTTAAAAAAAAATACATGTGACACACATAGACAGACCGAAACATGGACAACTGGTAAATAACAATAGCTATGTAAGACAGCCTCCGTCCAGAGTCAGAAGAGACTAAGTTTTCAATACAATAACATTGCACTCTGAAATGTTGTCCTGAAAAGAATAACATAGGAAAAACAGAAAAATCCTCAGCCAACAGAAAAAGCTAATTTAAGAGTGTCATAACTTGCTGCAAAAGCAGAGGCAAACTAAAACGCATACAGGGTTCCTTTCAGATTTAATCCCTGTTCAATACCTTAATTTAAAACGTTTCACTGACCTAGCTCATCAGTGGACTACTGTTACATAGAGCCAAATTAGGTCAGCAAAACAATCACAGGGCTAGAAGGAATCTCACAAGACATTCCTACTCCTGTCCTTGCAAGTAAGAAGATCAACTATATCTACGTTTGGGAGCAAGGGAAAGAATGAACAGCAAGTCTTTAAGAATCTCCCCTTGGTAGGCTAAATTGTTTCTACTTTATAGTTCAGTTTTACAGTACTAACGCCTCTAAAGCTAGATTGAAAACTAAGCCTTTCCCAACAGGAATTCATACAAGAATTGACTATAAACAGTAGATACACAGAGGGATCTGGACTATCTATCGCTTCCACAATTCCTAATTGTCCTGGTTTCAGCCAAGATAGAGCTGGTTTTCTTCACAGAGGCTAGTGTGAGACTGTGTTTTGGATTTGGGATGAGAAACTGTTGATAATGTGCTGTTTTGGGTTGTTGCTAAGCAGTCAAGGACAGTCCAGCTTCTTCTGCTGGCCTGCTAGCAAGAAGGCTGGGGGTGCACGGGGAGCTGGGAGCGGACACAGCCGGGATGGCTGACCCAGAGTGGCCAAAGAGATATTCCCTACCATACGACGTCATGCCCAGTACATAAACTGGAGTTGGCCGGGGGGCGGAAATCGCTGCTCGGGGATTAGCTGTCGATCGCCAGGTGGTGAGCAATTGCTGTATTGGGCATCACTTGTTCTTGTACATTCCTTTGTTGGTATTAGCATTGTTGTTTCCTTCTCTTTTTCTGTTCTATTAAACTGTGTTCATCTCAACCCATGAGGTTTTTTTTTCGAATTCTCCCCCCGTCCCACTGCGGGAGAGGGAGTGAGTGAGCGGCTGCGTGGTGCTTAGTTGCCGGCTGGGGCTAAACCACGACACTAATGCAAGTAACTGCCTGTGCGATCATCCACCTTCCACAAGAGAAGAACATGAAAAAGTCTGGCAGTGTAATACAGATTGATGACAAACCAGATCTGGGGCCTCCCATGCAATTAGGTCACAGCTACTTCAATACATATTGACCAAAACTAATAAGAAAACTTAAATATCAAAAGGTCCTTCACCTTTACAGTCATTCTTCTAGGGGGGGGGGCCAAAAGGTCACACCCCTACATGTTTGTTTTGACCTCTGCAAAGTTTAGTACACTGTGTGAAAATAGGCTACTGGCTACAGTTTATTTCAAATTTAGTGCAATTGATCTCTGCTTTCAAAGTGCTGAGCTTTGTACATAAATCCTAGAATGAACTCTTACCCTTGGAAAGCATCAGAATGGTCTCATTTTCTTTGAAAATGTTAAATGAATTTTAAAAGCCAGAAGGGTCATACAGAGACCCAGAAGGGTAAAAGCCTACTCCTAAAGTACTACTGTGAAAAGTTTTAAGCTGAGACCTCCACAGAGCCAGGGGGAAGAAAAAAATAAAAAAAAAACCCCACACAAATAAATTTGGTGCCTAGTTTGCAAATTTTAGGTATAGCAAACTACACAGGAAGTAAAAGATAGGACAGGAGACCAAAGAACTAATCTATTGCTGCAGGGATAGAGCAGATGGAACAAGTCCACAATAAAGAGCACCAGAGTTATTTACTGGCACGCTACTGAAGTGTGAGCACTCAAAATACAGAAGATATAGGGGCACAGAGTTCATGTACATTCACACAACAGAACCGAGTTTGGAAATAGCACTAAAATGCATATTCTCTGAGTGAAAAGCAAGCTGATGAATCACTCAGACTATTTAGGACATGGTTGGAGGCCAACATATCAAAACATGAACAGATTAGACGGAAAGGTGTTAGCTTAGCAGCCCTTAGACTTCAAAAACTTGATAGCAACATGCCCAGACAATAAATGAACCGGGGGCACCACAAAGCTTTGCTTTTCATATCTACCTCTCATTTAGCTTTTTAATTACTTGTGTTCTCAAGCAGCAGAGAAATCCTATGGAAAACATGTTGCTAGTAAGACAACCTTGGACCACTGTATTAGGACTGGGTGGTCCGCTCTTAGCCATGCCACAGAGAGACTTGAAAAATCAGGCATAGCTCAGAAATAGTGGGTAAGTCCTTTCTCAATTTTTAGTTCAGTTCAGAATGCTGACAAGTAGCTGGGAAAACAGAGTGAGAAATAAAAGGTTAAACTGGGATCTTACAACATTACGATAAAAGGACAGTACCCAGGAAAAAGAGGAGTTGCACAGATTTGTACCCAAAATACAACACGCTATTGAGCGGATGCAAACACAGAAACACATGCAAAGTTAATCTTCACCTGTTTGATCTTGTTGCGCGAGTTGGTTATGCGCTCTGTGATGCTCTGGTATGTGCGGATCGCAGTGGTGAGCTCCGTGTAGTGCTGGACAATGAGTTCGTCCAAATCCCGGTCACATTTCTCATAAGCTTCTTCCAGGCGGCCTTTCTCAGTCTCTCTGTCCTCAACATCGTCACTGGTAGACAAAGTCCTAAGGACAGAAAGATTACAAAAATAGGGATATTTTGAAATTCTGTATAAGGACAGGAAGCATTTGCCTAAAAAATGCACCACCTACTACAAACCAGGCACTCTTATTAGTCTGTACACTTCACTGAGTGAAGTTTATTTCTGGTGAACATGCCTGTCTGGCATTCAGTAGAGAACAATGTGCTTCAGGAACATAAAAACACATAAATATTGTATTTTATTACTTCCCCAGTTTTCAGATGCTTTGGAGCTTTTTTACTACATTATTGGATTTCTGAAAAGAGGAAGTTATCTATTAGTTATCATATTTCCAGAGTCATTAATATGTGCACAGTGTAACATGAAATATATCCCTATTTACTACTTACAAAGAACTATAAAGAAGAAATTCTACTTTGGACTCAGGGACCAGTGCAACTATTTGTTAGGAGTGTCGCAGTTACTAGTACTTACCTGCCAAAAGTACACTAGGGATATCACAAGTACATACAGAAATCCATCAAAAGCCTACCCATGCCTTCCAATAGTTAATCTGGTTTCAAACGTACACCAGTACAGCAAAAAAGTATCACAGGCCCCGATTTCCTCCTCTCACTTATTTTAACCTCTGAGTAACATCATCTAATGGCTTCAAGTTGCGCCAGGGGAGGTTTAGATTGGATATTAGGAAAAATTTCTTCACTGAGAGGGTGGTCAGGCATTGGAACAGGCTGCCCAGGGAGGTGGTGGAGTCGCCATCTCTGGAAGTGTTCAAGAAACGTGTGGATGTGGCGCTTCAGGATATGGTCTAGGGGACATGGTGGCGCTGGATTAATGGTTGGACTTGATGATCTTGAAGGTCCTTTCCAACCTAGTGTTTCTGTGATTCTGTGATCTAGTAAGACTTTTAATTTTTTTTTTTTCTTAAATCAATGAAGTTGGAAATTCCAACAGAACTGTTGAAAATTTCATGAAACTGGCACAGGAGACAAGCTTATTGGTGTCACTCCAAATTTCTGAGACTGTACTCATTCTTGAGTAAATTTTCTCTTTCTCCCTGTCTCTTTTCACGCTGCTTACCCCCCTCTTGAGACCTATCCTGACACCAGATCCAGAAGCTCACACCTGGAATGACTCGATCACACTACCAGAGAGACCCAAGAGACAGCAATAACCAAAAAGACATATTCTTGTCTCCTACACTCAAGAAGTTGGCTTCTGCAACAAAGACATCATGAATTTTCCTCTTCCTTTATCTTTGGAAGGGTAGCTATTGTCCATAATGGTTTTCTGTTTTGAATCAGCAATGTAGACATTGAAAACTGTATACTTCATGGTGAAAAAGAGAAAACCCATTTAGGATCCGTTATAGTAGTTATGACCTAAACAATGGTACATCACAACCTTAAGAAGAAGCAGGA